GCACTGAACAGAACAAGGAGAGGTGAGCAACCTTGTAGCTCTTGGTAGGCAGGCACAATTACAAATGCTGCAGAGCCGAATCAACACTTAACTCCCACTTTGAAAAATGCTGAGCAAATTACATCCAAATGAATGAATGAACTCAACATGCTTATGATCCTAAATGGGGGGAAGAGAGGAGGCGGGAAGAAAACCCTGCTCCCTCTGCCTTTGAAAATGCAACTCAATGGGCTTTCTCTTGCTATTTCAGCCGTTTTAGAATTACACCGCCTAGGCCCCAGATCTAATTTGCCTGCTGCAGAAGTTAAGGCACTTCCTCCACAGTTACTAAATCTGACAAATTACACCTGGGTCTGCTCTAACATGAAAAAATGTGCTCTTTGTTCCTGACCCCTTGGTCAGCATAGAGATCAAATTCCTGCCCATCGGAAAGCCCCACTCATATTCATTAAAGCCGCGGGGGACCGGCTCGCAGTGCCGGGGAGAGGGAGCAAGGCGCAGGCTGCTGCTACACCACAGGGCCGCTCTGCTCAGGCAGGGCCATAGGACTTTTGACGTTTTGCAACTTGGCTACTGATCAATGAGTACCTGGATTTTTCTTCTTCTTCTATATGGCATCTTAGTAACAAAAGAACACTTGAAATCAGAAAGAAAAGGGGAAAAAAAGGGTTAGTCGATGTTTAAATGCCAAGTCCCACGAGTTGAGTTTACAGAAACTTGCTTGCATTAAAATGACGGCTACGCAGATCAGTAACCAGAAACACAAAAATGATTCTAAAATGCCGCTGCCCCCCTACCCTGGCCAGACAAGCAGTGTGTTACCACAGTGGCTAATGTAGGACAGATTAGAGTGTTGTCTCCTCTTTCTAACCATCCTCAGCCTCTGGAAAAGATTACAGAACCGAGGGTGATCGTAAAGAGGAAATCAGGAAGCATCTTGGAGGCAGAGAATCAACACAAGGGATGCAAGAAACCTACAGCTTTCCTGTCGTACAGCAAAGTCCTAGGAGGGCCTTGCTGCCTGGTAACACAGGCCGTCTTCTTCTGTCCCTCAAAGAGGGAGAGAACATAATAGGCCATGTTAAGAAAAGGTGTGACTGGACTGCTGCTCCCAAAGATGACAGCACATCACGCCTGATTCCTTTCTTTAAGATTCCTGTAATAAAGAGACAGTGAAGGACAGCAGAAGCCACACAAGCTGCCATAAGGCCTCCTGTGGCACAGGAGTCTCCAGGAATGTGCCAACTCTCATCCTCCTTGCAGGGGAGCACTTTTCTCCCAGGAAAAGGCACCCCACTTACAACACTATTGGTACTGGCTGCTGAATTTTCCCAGGCCCATCAAACAACACCGAGATCCCCTTCCCTGTGGATCTAAGAAGTCCCACAGCACACTCCAATCGTAAACACACAGGAATGCTTTGGAGGGTCTTACATTATTTTCCACATACACATTTCTGCTAAATTGTACATCAGGAGATACTGCTTTCCTCCTCCCTGATCTCTAGGAAACGTTCAGCTATGCTACAAGTTCTGAACATGTAACAGATATGGACTAGGACTCCTTTGCTGCAGGAAACCAAGTTGTCAAAGTCCACATGTTTTAGACACATGAGTCATACCTGTCTTCCTGGTCAGATGGCAATTACTTTTGAGAAACCCATGACAGGATGGAAATCCTTAGTACCAACGTTCTGATTTCTGATTTCTGTTTTTAGATTAACACCACCAGCATTATCAGCAAATCAGAACTTAAGTACTTCCTCCAAAAAAGTCACTGGGAAAGCACGTAAATCAAACTTAAACGAGTTTCCACTGTGTTGCGGTTGTACTATCTAATGGACTACTCAGCGGGCATTCACCTATGGGAGAATCTCAGGGATGGAAAAACCCAGCTTCTGAAGCGAGAAAAGGGGTAACTTGGCTTCTAGTCAAAAAGCGGTTAAAAATTGTATAAGATATTAAGATAATCAAGCATGCCCGCAAGATCCTGACTTTGAAGACTCTGACTTTGGTGACATTAAAGTGAGTGACGTAGGACGAGACTAGTGCAGATCTCATTGCCCCTGTTTTTACCAATAGAGAAGTTCAGTGATTCCTCTTGTCACACAATCAGTAGAGGCCGAATTAGGGCTAGAACCCATCCTCTCTGACTCCTACCTACCTGGTGCAATAGTCTTCATATGAAGCGGAAAAAGGAACAAAGTACCCTGGAAACACCAACCCCACTATATCAGTAACAGCTACCACTTATCAGATGCTCACTCGATGTCAGGAAGTCTTCTGCGTGCTGCAGATGCATTAACACATGAATCCTCCTAACAACCATGTGAGGGACGTCACGTTGCTATCTCCCACTTTAGAGATGAGCAAACACACGTATGGAGATGTTCAGAAACTCGCCCCAGGTTCCAGGGCTGAGTGAGTGGGAGGGCTGGGAAAATCTGCCCTCCCTGCACAGAAATGCTCATGGAGGAGTTCCTAAGTCACTGTGCAGGTTATCAACAGTCTTGGGAATATTCATTTTAACAAAACAGCTTCACAGCAAGACCCAAATTACTGATGCCTCCAAAATACAGGATGAGACTGAAATTTCTGTTTCATCAACCTCTGCATTTTTTGTTCAAACACAAAGCAGCAACAACTCCTATGGGTGAGACAAATTCCAAGTAAAGATCTCCCTTGTTGTAATGAGGTGCTAGGCAGGAAGTAGTCAAGCTTTCTGGAAACCCCAACAAATTATAGATAAAAACAACCTCAGGATAACATTTCAGATGGCTAATGGTGCCTATTTTATTGACTTTACCACCTTTCCCAATGTTAAAATAAAATTTTTGGATGATATGAATCCAGTTCAGACATAAACTTTCTCCGAAGTTTGTTTGCACCACCACCAAAAATGAATTATCCCTCATCACATCACATTTTTTGAACTATAATGTTTTTGAAAAAAATGTGAGATGCTGCCAGATCTGCCCCAGGATCCAGAATCGCTCTCTTATTTATCACAGCCGTATCTGATTTAGCTAAACCAGATCTAAACAGGTTTGGATCTGCTCAGATATGGAGGAGGTTTGTTTGCTGTCATCCCTTCCACAACTATCAATCCAGGGATCTGGGAAAGACCTGCTTGCTCAGGAGCAGCCTTCAATCTTCTGTACCCTCTGAAGATTTTTCAAAAATCATTTGAAGTTACTGAAAAAAATGATCATGACTCCATGCAGGGCTTCTCTGTCAGTCAGAGATCATGCCTCAGCTACCAGATGGTCATTAAGAAGCAGCTGGAAAAGTTCCCTCTCTCTCCTGTTCTTTACCCAGAAATGCTCATATCAACATCCCACACTACCCTGAGATCTGTTTTCAGATTCCTATTTGAAAAGACTGATCTCTGCTCTTTATTCTGTTTTCCCTTTACCACCTCACATATAAAATAATTCACTGACATACACCAATAAAGCTGGATACACCCACTCAGATAATAACCACCAATTATCACACCATGACCACTGCCACCCCAGCCACACCATGCACCCTGCCGTCAGACTCAAATCAGGATGCGACCATTTAGTACCCGTGTGACTCTTGAGCAGTTACTTAACCTTTCTGTGCCCCAGTTCTCTCATCTGCCAAATAAGAATCATAATAGTGCCCATCTCTTAAAGGTCTTCTCAATAAATGAGATAATGGATATAAAGGATTTAGAACAGTGCCTGGCATTTATAGTATGGACTCAATTAAGAGTTCACAATCATTCTGAGGTTGATTTTAACATGATATACTTCCTGTACCCGCTCATCAGTCCTTTTGGATGCCAAATAAAATAGGAACTATCTCAAGTTTCTATTCTACGGAGGGTTTTACAAACCAAACTGTAGAGTGGGGTGGCCAATCTGAATTTACTGTTTGTCTTCTTCTAGTCTTAACTTGCAACTCCTGCGGCGGGACTGTAATACTTCTGCTGGGTGAGTAGAAGTTAATTCTTCAGCTCTATGTACAGATAGAACTCTCAATAAGTACATAAATAATAAAAATCCAAGACTTCTTTGATATGGATCTCTTGATCTAACAGTCCCATTTTAAAGATTAAAAACTGGCTCTGAGGGCTCAAGTTCACATAAATACTTAGTGGCAGAGCCAAGGCTAGAAAAAGTGGTAATTATTACCCTAAGCAAACCGCCAGGGACTCTTCTAAATCCACTGCAAACGTCACCTACTTTAATCTTCATCATAACCATCTAACGTGGGTATTATTTTCACCCCCTTGGAGATGCAGAAATTGGAGCTCCACCTCTGTGAATTAGCTTCTTCAAAACCAGACAACAGACAATAGAGCCAAGGCCAAAATAGGTCTTGTCTGGCCCCAAAGAATATGCACCTGCTCCAAGTTTTCTAGACCTCAGAGCAGAGAACTCTAGTCCTGAGCTCTCCCCCTGTGACTTCCCAACTGTCCATGCATCAGCCTCGTCTGGGGAGCTCTGAAAAATACGGATTTCTGGGCTCCACATCAGGAGGGAGAATCAGACTTTCGATGGGCAGGGTTTCAAAATCTGTATTTCTTCAGAGTGAGTGATTCTGATGTGTAGCAAGAGTCAAGCAACCCTAATCTAAGCAAGATATTGTATGAGTGCTTCCAGTATAAAATGAGAGGGAAATAAGTGACCGAGGCTGACAGAACATTCAGGGTAGCTGAGTCTGCGTGAAGACGAACAGTGGTGTCCTTCCCCCAAATCCTCTGTGTCCCAGGGACGCACATGAAGCCCCACCCGCATCCACCAAAGCCCTGCTCCCACTGGTCTTGGCTGAAAGACCTCTGCACCCCAATGAAAGCCGTAAACACGGCCTCTGCAGCAGTGCCAGGCTACGGGTTCTGTCCGAAAGACAGCACCAAGCTTCCTTTCCAGCTTTATCTGTTTCCTTGAAAGCACCTAAGTCTGCATCACGCTTTCTGAGCGCTGAGCGAGAACACGGAGGGCAGGCAGGACTGTTCGAATGAACACTTACCAAGGCGCACCGTATATTCTGAATCCCTTCACTGTTACCTCCGAGTCTTGTAAGTAAATACTGTTTGTCAGGAGGGACTGAACGTTGTCAAAGTCCTCTGGTTTCAATTTGGACACAGAGGGGAAACGGTAGTAGTCCTGTTTAACGAGGTCTGCCATGAATTCCTTATCAAATGTCAGTTCATGGTTCCCAGCAATCACTATTTTATATTCATATGGCAGGTTTCCTGAAATAAGAAAAAAAGAGCACCAATTAGCACGTTCATTTCCCATCACGAAGTACAACAGCCGAGGCTGTGTGATTAGCAGACGGTGCACCCAAATGAAATAGCTCATGCATTCCTTTATATTTCCATGGGAACCGAAATTTATGACTACTCCTTTATGCTAACAAAAATGATAATAAACGGGAAATGGGAAGCTGCTAAGAAGCTAAAAAGCTACTAAGAAGACATTAAGTTTTCTGGTTCCATTTCCCTCTTCTGTATGCTACAAATTCACCGCGACGAATCCGGCAAAAAGCACTTTAATTGCGATCCTTAAAGAAAGGTCTGGACTTGGTTCACTCCTCAAAAAATAAGCAGACCACATCGTAAGGTATTTCAACATAGAATCACTATGTTGTACGCCGGAAACTAATACTGTATTATTCAATAAAATAAATAAGCCAACCAGCTATTCTTAACAACTCAGATAACTGCTAGATTTTTAACATTCCTCCATTTAAACAAAACGTGGCACAGTCAAGCATTTCACAATTTACACAAATGAAAGGAGCTACGTAATACAATTCCATACTGTAAGTTAAAGTTTACCTTTTGGCTCGGGAATAAAAAGAACATTAATAATGCCTCCCCCTGCCCCCCCAATTAGAAGGCTAACTTTCTACCGGTTGGGGATGGGGGAAGAAACTGTAAAGCTTAACCCCCTTTTAATATTTATGGTATGGAAATGTGAGTTCTCGGTGTGTGCTTTTTATGCAAAAGTTTCCCGATCGAAATGAGATAATTCTGGGAAGAAGAATGAAAGCTATAAAGGAAAACCCAAACACCAGACTTCTGCATAGATTTATAATGTTTGAATAAAGTACAGATCATACATATTAATAACTCACCGTGATGCTATAAGAACCAAAATCCAAAGGGAGATAGTGTCGGGCAGCTGTCCCCATCCTGAAATTAATGCCCTTTCTATGCGTTTTCATTACCCATCCCTCAAGCCTCACCACTGGGCTGCTGCTCATTTCATTTCATTTCATTTTATTTTGAAAGGAAAAAGGGGTGGGACAATGGTGCCTATAATTCCAGCTTCCCCAGGCTCCTGGGTCCAACGCAAAATGAATGTTCCCTGCGACTGCATGAAGAATGAAAGTTACCACTAGCAGGACACTCGATACACTTGGAAAGAATTGGTCTTTACCAGCAAGCCAGAGGCAATGATTTAATTAATGAAGCTTAGTGAGGAAGAGAATTATATATTTTGGGGGTGGGAGGTGCGGGGAGATTTTGTCATGGGTCGACTTGGATCTCAGCAACGCACACTGTAGAGATTACAAGGTGAAGTCCGCAATCCCAGCAGCACACTGGGATCAAATGTGTCTGCCAACACCGAAGTGATTTTTAAGATTGCTACAATATGCTACGGGTTTTTCTTTAGCTTTCACTTTTTAGGTTTCTAACAGTAATAAAATTGCCTATATAGCATGTGGGTTAATGGGGAGGCTAAAGAGAGAGATGAAAGGAGTGGGAAAATAACACTGCAGAAAGATGAAACTGGAAACACTGTGGCCAAGTGTCAATGGGTATCCTCGGCTGCTAGTCCACGATGGGGTGGCGTGCCTTTGGTCTCAGTTATTTGCAAGGTGGACAGCTCATGGAAAATAGGAAGCCTCTCTCAAATGCATGTTTATAGGGGTTTATAATCTGTACCAGCATAAGGCAATAAGGAGTGCAATGCATATTCATAGTGCAAGCTGCTTGGATAGAATGATGATATTCTGCACAATTCCTTGCACTCAAAATATGGATAAAAGATGCATTAACGGGCTGCAAATTCCCAGCACTGCCCATGATGGAAATTTGTAAGATGCCCCACGGCTCTAATATCATGGCTCTGTGACTCCATTGGCCTAATACCACCCCGCCCCCCCAGTTTACCTGTGTTCCCAAGGCTGGAGCATTTTCCCGGACAGTAATCTGTTCCATGGCAGGTCCTACCAGCGTGAATCTATGAGCGACTGTATTTGTACAAGTCAGGCTGTAGCTGCCCAGTTCCCCTTTAATCATTCATGATGATGGACTCACTGTAAACCCTTTCTTTATGCACCACTGCTCTTGCAACAGGGCTTGGTTTCTCGCTTTTTCCATTTTAGAGCTTTGGTGCAGAGATGGCATGGGTGAGGTTGGGAGGCAGGGCAAAAGAAAGCACACGTTTCCCCTTCAGACCAGTTTGTTTTTTGTTGTTTTTTTTTTAAAAAGGTAAAACTGCTGCAAAGTAAATCTTCCTCAGGAAGATAGGACTCCTCAGAGTGTTTTAAATCAAATTGGGAGACTCGACATAAAGAAGTAGCCACCAAAATGAACAGCCGCAGAAACGGTGATGAAATTTACACACTGCCAACAAACTCATCTCTTTCTGAGAATCCAATAGCAGCTCCCAACTTCCAGTCTCTGTCACCTATGTTATGAGATTGTCTGACATATTTTCTTTTTTTGCTGAACTGACCTTTCCTCTATAATCTGCCAACCTTTATGTTTTATATGAAAAGTGTAAGCAGGGCAGCTGACAAACCTCCTGCTACTTGACAGCATTTTAGTTTTTTTTTCAGGCTAGATTAATTTGGAAGGTTCTGCAGTCAAGCTCCAAACTTCTTGGTATTCAAATATCATCAAACAAAAAGGTGCCTGCTTTTATCCACTTTATTCAGACTAACTGATAGCAGCTGACCTGCCTGAACAAAAAAATCAAGGCCTCATAGTGTCATTCCGACACGGAAAAACTCTTGCTTCAAATGGCCTGAAGAACTTGACCAACTAACCAGTTCCATCTTTCCTAAGACATGACCTATGTCTTACATGTGATACATAAAATTATTTTAGATGGAATGGAGATGCACATTTGGCAAAATGTCAAGTAGTTTTCTGTATGTTTTAAAAATACATATTGCCCGGCCAGGCATGGCTCAGTGATTGAGTATCGACCTAGGATCCAGGCGATCGGGGTTTGATTTCCAGTCAGGGCACATGCCCGGGCTGTGGGCTAAATCCCCAGTCGGGGGCGTGCAGGAGGCAGCCGATCAATGACTCTCTCATCATTGATGTTTCTCTGTCTCTCTCCCTCTCCCTTCCTCTCTCTGAAATCAATAAAGATATATTAAAAAAATAATAAAAAATAAAAATACATATTTGAAAAGATACAATGTAACAGTGCAAATAATACACTAGTTCATTTTTCTAGTTTTTATTTTTCTATTTTTATACAGGGTGGGGCAAAAGTAGGTTTACAAAGTTGTTCATATGGAAAGTAATACATTAATAATAATAACAATAAAAATACAAAAATAAACTGTGTTTCACATACTCACAGCTGTAAACCTATTTTTGCCCCAGCCTGTATATAAAATATGAGATTATTTAAAGAAAACAACTGAATAAATAATTGTACAGATAATTCACAAATATGGCCAATAATAGCACAGATAATTCACAGGTATGATGATGGCAGTAAATGATGAATAAAATGTGGAAAACGAGTCCCTTGGGTCTGGTTGGAGCTATGGACCGTGGTGAGACCATAAACTCTTAGAGGCAGCAATTAAGTCTCATTCTAACCTGCGTCTTCTTACTGTATCTGTTAGTGCCTCACAGTTTCACATAAATAGATGCTCAGTTAAAAATTACAGGATATTGAAAGTCAGATGGGTCCTCACTGGGCCCTAGAGTTCTAACTGCCCCACGTTCTGGCTGCCGCCTGGTCCCTAAGCAGTCGCCACAAACCCTTCCAGGTTCCTCTCCAGCTGCCAGGCTCCTTTTGACCCCCTACTGGGCATATGACATGTCCTCTAACCTCAAGGAAGGCTTTCTTCACTCCTCTTACCTGCCCTATTACTCTATTTGTACCTCATTTAATAACAGGCCTCTTAACTCCATTCCTCCCACTCCCACTGGCACTTTCCAAACAGCTCTCTTAGATTATGTTGAATCTTTGTCTCTCTCTTTGTAATCGCTTCCTTAGCGAGTTTATGTTTTCCCATCCCATGAAAACAAAACACAAGCAGCCCTTCACACACACACACACACACACACACACGCGTGCACGCGCCTCACATACAATTCTATACCATCCCTAACTTTGTGGCTTCCTTGAGATGCCTCCTCATTTCACTTCTATAGTTCTGGAAAGAGAATTCCAGGAGCTAGCAACTGGTGGGCCAAATTCAGCCCACAGATGTATTATAGTTGGCCCTCAATTGTGTTTTATTTTTTTTCAATTGAACTAATATTTGGAAATCGGGAGTTCTGGGTTTCTAGCTTATTTTGGAAAATTGCAAGATCGGGCGAAGCTGACCTCCATCTGCCGCAGACCTTCCCACTTTCTATTACTGGTCACATCTGGCCCCTTGATCCATGTTTGTGTTGCCTGATGGGCCATTATCAGAATTAGCAACTTAGAGACAAATGGTTACTCAGAACTGACCCAACAAAGTCTTCCAAGAGTTTACCCTGGAATATAAGTGATGACTTAACAGTCAAAGCCGAGACTTATTCTCCATTCCCATCTCCACTGATCCCACTGCCACTGTGGCACCCCTGTGCCTCAGAGGATCAATCCCCTTGATTACTGACGTCACACTCTTGTTCCCTCCCCCTCATCTGCTGCTCCTCTTCCTCCCTTGTCTTCCTCAGCTCCCTCTGCCTCTTCGCTGACTCATTACACTCTCCCTCTTCACCTTTACTTCTGTGGGTATTACTTAATATTTTCTGACTGTATGTCTCCCGTTTCTATTCCTTGTGATTCAATTTTTAAACTATGACAATTTAAACCATGGGGGCGGCCTAAGGTGAAGGGTGGGGGCTCCAGGCTGCGGCATGTGTTAGCTGCATAACCTTGGACAGAGTCCTTACGCTCTCTTAAAGCGCAGTAGCAAACGCGGGTAATAACTGCACCCCCCTCGTCGTTTTCAAGATAAAATGAAGAAAAGCTTTTAAAGCGCATGCGTGATATGAAG